CCCCCCCCCCCCCCCCCCCCCCCCCCCCCACCGCTCCGTTCTGCACCAGCACTCTCTGAGTGCACAGCCACAGGGTGCAGAGCGGCTACGGCTCCTGAACCAGCTCACCTGCACGCCACCACCACGCTTCTCAATCGCGTGGAAAGTTGGAGGACTAATTTATCAGATATCGCATGTGTTCACGTGCGACTTGCCGGGTGGTTTGTATCGCGGTAAATCCACCACTCTATGAAAAAGAAGAAGAAGAAGAAGAAAACCAGATAGCTGCGCCTGTCATGAGATCTCTTTGAAAAGCAGAGATTGTTGAGGACTTTTTTTTGCTCGTTGGCTCGTTGAAGAAATGATTCCAGCCTGATAAAGAGGAGACGGTTGTATTTTGATGTCAGTATTGGATGAGAGCCGCAGCGCTGTATCAGAGAAATATGGTAAGAAGCAAAGCAAAGAAAAACAAGCACTGCATCAATTTCTGAGACTTATTCTTATTTCTATTCAATGATGTTTACGTTGCTTTTTTGTAGCCTAGTGGTTGTTTTTACAAGTGTGCAAACAGACAGAGAGCTGTATGGGGAATCCACGACACGTTCACCACGCATTTGTCAAATATTACACATCCTGGGTGCTGTAGGGTGAGCTTGGTGACAGAAGCACCCCGGGGGCACCTGTTTCATCTTCAGAGAAAAACAAACTTATACCGTGGAGAATGAGATCAGTCCATTCATTATGTGTGCCGTGTGAATGTTGGGAGTGTATTCGACAAATGTGGGCTATCACTGTGTTTTCAGGGGACGATGCTGACCGTGCGTTCGTGTCTGTGATGGCAGGTGGTGTCGCACGGAATACAGCTGATTTGTTCTAAATGGAGAACTGCTCAAAGAGGATAAATTGCGTGCAAAGTTGTGCGGCTTTCTGCTGAGGGAGTTATCCAGCGCCCCCTCCCACAACCCCACGAATAAACATGAGTCCACGGCGAGACATGGGGCCGCTCCGCTGCGTGGGATTCACCGCGTTTCTCCTGTGCACAGGTAAGACCCCCCCCCCCAGAGACACCTAAGCTAATGCCAATGAGCACTTGTGTTCATACAGCTGCAACACGAATTATGGAAATGAAAGGTAATCGTCACATAATAAGAGCCACTGTAAATGCATCTACCTTCATCGAGTGGTTTTTATTCAGTTTGGAACATTTAATGAAATGCAAATGATTTCCTTTCTGCCAAGAGGACATATATGATTTATGAGACACATAATTAGCTGTAAGCTGCTGGGGCAGAATGCAAAATGACTTGTGATATGAACATGAATGAACTGTGACAGTTGCCTATGGGAGTGTGTGGGTTTGGGTGTTGTAGTTTGGGGGGTTGTAGCAGCACTTAAATGGGATGCGGTGTGTGAGAGTATGGCACTGCAGAGCACCAGGAATAACAACAGGCTGCAGAGCAGCAGACACAGCCCAGAAAAAGAGGAGTGCATCTTTTCACTAAGTTTAGGCAGTTCTGCTATTGTAAAAAACAACAACAACTTGTGTGTGGGTGAAATCTCTGTATCTATATGTGTTTTTGAGTGTGTGCATCTGCATGTTCTTGGGTGTGCCAGTGCATATATTTGCCTGTGAGAGTGTGGATGTTTGGGTGTTATGTGTGTTTTTTGTAAGACGTGTGCGATTGCGCAGTCCTGTGATCACCAAAAAAATGAATATGTAGGAAAAATCATGTGTTTTCATCCTCGCTGTTTAGCTGCCAATCACGAGGCGTATGTAAAAAAGACTCTTTCTCACTCAGCTGTCACTATGACAGATATCTTTGTCATAGTTAGATGATGGAGAAATACTGTATACAGCGTGTATTTATAGGACATTTACTTATTTTATTTGTGTAGTTTTGTTTATCCTTCCATTATGGTCACATTTCATTTTTAAATTTCAATGCGGTAATCTTGGGATGCGGCAGCCTCTCTAAACCTGGGTCCATTAGCAGCAAGAACAGTCAGATTATTTGACGGACTGAAGCACTTATAATAAGTGCTTTAGATGGCTGAACAATTAAGTGACATATTTTGCAGAAGTAGGTAAAGAAGCCAAAAACTGTGCTTCAATAAAAGTACAGTTCCTCTATAATAACCAGCGGCGTACAAGATTCTTCACTTTTATCCTGAAAACCTCACGGTGACGACACAATAGTCCTGCATATAATGTATAAACTTCTGTTGTTACACTTCTGTTTTTGTACGGATTAAACAAACAAGATACAATGTCTTAATTAGTGAGCTTTAGTTTAGTTTACAATGTTTATTAACCTTTGGACAGAGACAAGCTACCAGTTTCCTACTCTTTTCCGTCTTTGAGCTAAGCTACGCTAAGCTCTCCTGCCTGTAGATTTGACAGAGAGACGTGAGTCAGTGTTCTAATTAGTTAATTGCAATATTCCTCAAAATATGTATTGGAGAAAAAAAAATCAGACCAGTTGAAAGCCACTCCACAAACATAAATAAAGGTTGGCTGAAGATTCATCCGTATTACGCTGGTTCTTGTCAGCCACTTAATCTTTGCAGGTGAAAGTGGAGAGGAAGGGGAAAAAAACCCTGACTCCCTCCTGTCAGTCAAACCCCCTGGTGTGCAGAGTCTCTGAGGATATTATAACTCTCCAGCCACCTGGTTGCTTTCACCGAGAGGTTCTAGGTTGTCTCTTTAAGACACACGTACTGACGGGCACATACTGAGAAGGATGCCTACACACACTCACATACTGTCAAACTGGCCATCAGGACATTTGGAAGAACTTCATATATGCCTGGCATGCAATAGGATGTGATGGAGTTGTTTTTTTAAAAAACATGACAGATTGGAGGATTGTCTCTTAGTCATAGAGATAAAGTTTCAGGGGTGAAAAATTGCCTTGCTCACACTTAACATTGAGGCTACCACACACAAGTTGCAGGAACAACTTTATGACGTTATTAATACCACACCTACCACACCGACCATTGTTTGCATACTGTATAGTTTTCATCACCTGTTCACAAGTATTTGAGGATAAAGGGCGCTGTGCTTAACAAGAGTGGGAGGATTCTCACTCAGAGCTTTGCCTGCTCTTTTGTATATGTGTGGGCCCAGCCACGGTGGATCGGGATGGAAAGTTGAAAAGTTACAAAACCAAAAGCCTTTAGCCTTAATTTAACAATAGCTCTCTTATTCTCTCTCTCTCTCTCTCTCTCTCTCTCTCTCTCTCTCTCTCTCTCTCACACACACACACACACACACACCCAAAGACACATCGAACTCTAACCAAAATAACATTATATATAGCACTCAAGGCACCACTGGTAATTTCAGATGTCTGATCACCACTACCTGTTTTGCTATGTTTGCTGACCAGAGAATGACTGCTGTAGGTAGCCCAGGGTGGTAATATAATCACTATTTATCAAGCCCTGTGGAACGCTCTTATTGTACGATAAGTTGTAAATGTGCAATGCCAACAATTTTCACATGCTGCTTTCCAAAATATCTGTGCATGACAAATATGTATGGCTGAGGTTAGGGGGAAAAAAACTGCCAAAGTGTTAAATTAAACGATTAAATGGATAGTTTGGATTCGTCGAAGTGGGCTTGTATGAGTTACTTGTCCTAAGTCTGGGTATTACTTGCAGTAGATAGCGCTCGGCATGCCCCCAGTTTGGAGAAACAGACAGGAGAGCCAGCACAGAAGCAAAGCAATGTGCTGCTGTGGACAGGTGCAGCAGCGAAACATAGTTTAGCCACCTGAAAAAAAAAGCCCACCTAAAAAAAAAAGAAGTCAATATCAGTTTAAGTGTAGGCCTGCTCTATATTTAGAATATTTTCACTACTTTACCATGCCGGGGAACTGAAGCTGTGTTGTGTGACTTTGGTGTTTTAAAGGGCAAGTTTGGATTATATTGTGGTAGAACAGCAAATCATGTGTTCTGCGAGGTAAAATGACCATATTATGGGACCATAATGTACTAAATGAACATCATGCTGTAGTGAAGAACACTTGAAACTAGCGATTGAGACCATACATTTGTAGGGTCATTTTCTCATAGATTTCCATACAATCAGACTTCTTTTTGCAAGTTTAAGGCAAATTCTCATTGGCTTCACTTTTCAGAACTGTAGGTTGTCGCCTGGTTAGGATTAGGCAACTAAATCCTCAAGGTTAGGGAAAGATAGCGGTGAGAAATAATAGAAATGATGTGATGGGTTGAGCTCTGGTCGCCTGCATGAAAGTCAAACATGCTACACACTTATCTAGCACCCCAACCTCTACACCCTCACGTTCTGCCTCTTTATATTAAAACACACACTACAACTTGCATCAGAAGTGAATGTGGGCAAATCACGAGGTCTAATGTGAAAGTAATTCCTATAGGACACAGGGCTGGGTTTTCAACGAAGAAGAAACAGGCAGAGAAACTGGAGCAACTTTACACTGTTGAATAGTCAGACTTCAGTTATTATACATTAAGTATGGGGAAAACAGAGATCACAAAGAATGCAGTGTTTTGCCAATGGGCATAGCAAATGTAATGAGCCATTTGTTTTCTCTTAGGTAGCCGGTTGGCCACAGGTTTGTGTTACTGTAAGACAGAAAGGCTCCGCAGGCAAAATCTGAAAGCTATGCACCTGTATTACAAACAGTGGAACAGTTATATCTGGTGCAGGATTCTTGAATCCTGTAGCTCAGTAAGCTTTGATGCAATGTCCAAAATATCTTCCATCAGTCCTTTTAGTCAATTCAGCCTTCTAATCATTTGTGCTGTTCGAGCTTCTTGAGTGTGATTGACTGGTCTAAGTCCAGGGATGTTTTTCTGTCCCGGTCTGTCCCTGTTGCCAACAAACCAAGTAAATTCATTGTTCCTGTTAACCATGTCAGTTTCATTCCTTGTTATTCTGATTTATTTTATTTGACTTGACAGGCAATGCTCTTGCAATGATTGCACCAACATGTAAATGCATGATTCATTGCATTAGGTTGAATGTTTTCCCATAACGTTTTTAACATTTTTCACCTCAAAGAATGTTCTATCCTTTCTGACCAACATCTGAACATTAAACTCATATTACTAAATGCATTCAGTTTAGTTTCTTTCAGTTGAGAAACATTGCTAAAAAAATCAAACCTATACGTTCAACAAATAATGTTGAAAATGCCTCTTTTGCTCTCCACATGGACTGTTTACCTGTATTAAAGCAAAGCCTGCTGATACGTGGTTGGTTAATACTTCTTGGACTCCAACGAAAACCAGAACACTTCTGATACCAAAATCCTATCCCGGTGCCTTCGGTATCTACGTAGGGAGCAGGTCGTCTTCCACGGAGTCCGCCATCTTGCACCGCCATGTTTTTACAGCAGCCCAGAACGGACACTGGCTCTAGCAAGAGCTTTTTGCATTTTAGGGATGCGTTCCAAAACCCAGTATTAAACAGGCCCTGGTGCATAGTAATTAAAGATTGTAGCATTGATAAGCCCCGACGTTACTGGTGCTTTTTATTAGTACTTTTTAATGTTTTGATGTAATTTATTATCATGCTGCTGCAGCATTTTCTCTGCTTTCTCTTTCGGGTTGAGCTCCTTCAACTACAAACACACATAGAAACAAACACACACGAAGCGCGAGCAGATAAGCCGCTGTGGTGAAGTAAACCAGGGGAAGTGAAGGACACCGGAGTTGACGGCAACTACACTTGTTACTGTACGTGCAAAAATATTAACTACATCTAAATATTACAATATATATATATAATATAAAAGCCAATACTTTATCAATACATCTGTGAACATGTTAAAATGTGTTGAATGCTTTCCTATGTATGTACGTATGTATGTATATGTGTGTATCTACAAATTCATGTGTGTTTGGATGTGTGTATCTACATCTGTCTGTATGTATGTATCTTTATTATGTATGCATTCAGACTGGGAACAGGTCAGACCTATTATTCAAAAGAACAGATTACCAAAGATATTTTTTTGAATTACCAATGCTGCCGTGACCGGCATCTGTT